TGGCTGCCCCATCCCTGGCAGTGTTCAAGGCCAGGTTGGACACAGGGGCTTGGAGCAACCTGCTCTAGTGGAAGGTGTCCCTGCCCGTGGCAGGGGTTGGAGCTGGAGGAGCTTTAAGGTCCCTTCAACCCAAACCAGGCTGTGGTTCCATAATATGATGAGGACAGTTAAAAACAGAACATGTCATGAAACAGCTGCTGGTCTCCTTACCAAAACCAGGTTCATGCACCATCACTTGTGTGGACATTGAAGTACCCAGGTAACCAACGTAGTTCTAGTACAAATGACTCTGAAAGTAGTAATTTACTCTGAGTTAATCCCAAAACCCATGGAAATTAAGGTGAACACGACAAGTTCATGACAAGTTAAGCTAGAACATGACAAACAAGCTTTGGGATTTGCCTTTTTGGGGTTTTTTCCTATTTTAAATGAGGAGGACTTAGAGTGACAGCATGACTGTAAGGCACTGCATGCATCCAGCTGTAGCATGCAAAGCACAAACTGTCTAGTCCCCAAACACACTCTGCTGCTGAAGGAAAAGCCCCTCTACTGCATGTTGATTTAAACATGTTGGAAGAGATTTGCATAATAAATAGAACCACATGTATGAAGCTGATGAACTGGGGTCTTGTTTGCATTACTTCCCAACTTTGGAATTCAAGTGAACTCAACCTTCACAGCTAAGTATAGACTATACATGTGAAAGGAATGACTTTTGTCAATAATTAATCACAGTTGTATGTCCTGTTCATTTAACTTCTGCATCAGTGATCAAAAGCTTCAAGTACACATGGTGTCAGTCATTTATTCCTCTTTAAAACGCGCACCAGAAGACAGATGAAGTTGCATTTTCTTCATCAAGTTTTACTTTGCCAATATAATATCTTTTTTTTTTCCACATTTCTTTTTTCCTCAACATTTCCACTACTACATTTAGAGTTTCTCAATGCCACTTACACATCACTATGCCAAAGCACAAACTTACAGGATGATCCTCCAGTTTAGTAACTCGGCTCCAGCCAGAGGAGCCTTCTGGATTAGTTCCAATAGAAAGAGCCAGGTGTACGTGCTATTTTGGTTCCCCATGAACACGATATTGTGGTAAAATCTTGGGATTTGATGGCCATTCTTGGCAAGATCCCTGTTCTCCATAGCCCAGCACAGCAGCAGACTTCCAGGAAGGTCTCACTGCTTCAACACTGTCTAGAAAACCCTGCTTAGAATAACTTCCCAAACAAAACCCCCCAAATTTCCACCTTCAAACCTAGAAACAGGTACTAAAACCTAAATAAATACTAGCAAACCAATGTTACTGAGGGACAACAGCATCAATTCAACCGTCCGTGGTTCAAGAAGAGGGGGGACAAGTCCCATAGGAAAACTGGAGATGTTTTATAGCAGTTACAGAAACAACCACAGCAAAAGGCTGTCTCCTCCCATATTTGATTTTTAATGCTGGAGGCCCTCTAACAACCTGAGCTCCATTTACTGCCATAGGCAACAGCTGTAAAGCAGCTCATCAGACCACAGTAACTACTTCCAGCTGGGGCTGATTAGATTCACACCACCTTTGCCATCCATTGGGTCCCTCCTGCTCCCAATCTCCCCACAAGCCAATCAAGTCTATTGGTTAATTAAACAATAAGAACCCCAGGTGCCTCAACCCCATCACAGCAGTTCACAGCCCCTGCACCAGCAGGCCCAGCACAGGAGCCTCTGCTTCACTCTTTGCGCTGCACTTGCTTTTGCTCCACTCACCTTGTTTTGTCCTTTATTGTCGTGGACATACCTCATCCTTGACTGGCAATTCAGTGCAAAGCCCAAGCAGCTCATGGATTTCTTCCTTCTCTTATTAGGATGAAAATGTAATGGCAAACCTGTTCAAAAGGAGGGATGAGCAAAGAGCAGGCACATGTCTCTGCAGTATGACATGAAAAGACTTAAATCTTCCATGATTCTTGGAAAGCTTCTTAGTAAGAGCTTCCCTCAGGCTGTCCTGAAGTCCCTTTGCTGCCCTTTTGAATGGGGAAAAGCTATTAAAAAAAAAAAAGGAAAAAGCCAAGGGATTTCTTGGAAAGCCTCAGCAAAAGATCCTTTTCTTTTTTATAAGAACAGGAGCCCTCAAAAACATGTGAATGAAGTTAAAGTACCAACAACTGCATCGTACCCTGATCCCCCATCAGTCACTTCCGCAACACGAGCAATATTCAGTTCCTTCCTACTTCGAGATAAAAACCCAAGAGTGAACAGGTACAGAAAATAGTCTACAAGTTCCCACTTGCCCACAGATAAAGCCACACATCTTGCTTTTGGAACCATATCAGAGGAGCCCTTTCAGGCTGCATTTCCCAAAGCTTGTGTGCTCATTTTCTCAGCAAAGAGGGAAACAAGCAGCTTTTGGGTTGAGACTGCTGGTACTACTAAAACCTGCATTTTCCAGAGGAGGGGTAATCTCTCTCAGCAGCTCAGTCCCCAGCAGTTCAAGTCAAAGCAGTAAGTCTGTTCCAGTATAGTACAATAGGAAAATATTCTGTCATGCTTACTTTTAAGCTTTGCATAAAATAGTTGGAAGAGTGTGTCATGTTCCATCATATATCTTTATATGATATATATGTAAAAAAGACTTATCTATATGTTTAAGAACAAAAACTAAAATCAGTCAGCTTTTGATATGGATCCTCTGCTCATACATCCTATTCCATGGGTTGGAAGGGACCTTAAAGCTCCTCCAGTCCCAACCCCTGCCACGGACAGGGACACCTTCCACTAGAGCAGGTTGCTCCAGGCCCCCTCTACTGGGAGCTGCTCTAAGGTCTCTCCCTTGGCTTAAATGGTTTTTTGCAGTTCTCTAAGGTGGTGGTGATCTGCTCGCTTGGCTTTTAATCTTCCCTGTTCATTGAAGCTTGTCACCACTGATAGAGTGTTCTCACACACAGCCCCCACCAGTGAGGTGTAATACTTGCCTGAGCCTGATGGTTTTCCTTGACTCCTGAGAATGTGGAGAGCAGCTGGAACCTCCTTGTGTTGTACAGCCTTGACTTGTTCTGCTGCTGCTGAGTCTTGCAGATAAAAGGGCCAGTTTAACTTTTATCCACGTCTCCATCTTTTGCACATGTCAATGAAGAAAGGAACGATGCATGCACAAGTATGGGGGCAAGAGAAATAGGCATGTTCAAATCGTGCTATACAAACGTTACATCAGATCATACAAATGTATAGTTTTGGAATTAAATTGCCAGGAAAAAGTGTTTTGGAGCAGAACTACGGAATATGAATGGTACTTGGGGTTACGAAGAGGAACACAGGGTAGCTTTGGTCTGTTATGCATTTACATGTGATTAATACCTAGTAAAAGCTGTTCAGTGGAATACTACTGGAGTAGTATTTCTTGATCCAGTATCCAATGTTTTGCGCTGTAAAATGTGCCTTTCACCAGTTAGCTCTGATGTGATGTTGCTGGGAGGTGGAGGCTGTCAGTGAAGTTACAGGCTGACTAATGAGCTCTGTTTAGAGAAGAAAAAGCATGAATTCATCAGATGTGTGAAGATCTGAAAGCATCAGATGTGTAAGTACATGTTAGTTGGTCTCTTTCCTGGATTAAACATGCAGTGATTAAATCAGCACTTTATAATTGTGAACCTTTGTTAGTGTTCTGCAAGTGATGAACAAAATCAGCATGTCCAGTTACAGAAACCTCTCCTAGGACACCTGTACTTCATACCATGAAGAAACAGGTTTGTGTGAAGGGAACCCTTTGGTTTGTTGGCTTCCCATTATGGCCAGTTCTTTCCTGTTGTGGTTGTCTTTAGTCAGGCACTGGGAAAGCCTGCTTACACTGATGGTTGAAGTTAGTGAGGATACCACCTGGGGCAGGAAATTGCTTCTGACTTCTTTATTTTCTGGATCAAAAGAGATAATGAAATAGCCTTTTCCTGACTGGTGTTGGAGGGGAAGCAATGGCTTGCTTATGGACAGTGTGGTCAGGAATACTTTTTGCGTCTTATTTCCTGTACCATTAGGAATTGATTGTAACACTGGGACTTCTTCAGTGCTGTTTTATTACTGTGGAGTTGCATTGATCTGCTTGGGAGGAGCATTCTGTGCATGCGAGACAGAGTCTTTCACCTCATTTGCATGGGTTTGGAGAGGGTTGAATCAGGATTCAGAGCAATGCTGCTTGGAGTTGTATTGGAAATATCATTATCTGGGTTTTTTCAGTTGACTAGTCCTTTGCAGAGGGGAAAAAATGATAAATAAATAGTTTTGGAGGTAGAAAATCGGAGCTTTATTTCCTTTGTTTGGTGTGGAATTGCTGATGAGGCTGGGCGCAGTCCTGAGGACTTCCTTTTTATTGGGAGCAATGATGAACTGAACTTGCCAGTTTTCCAGAAATCAGCCTTCTCCAACCCCCAGTAGTTTTAGTTCCATTTTATAGCGAATGGCTTTGTGGTTTATTCCTGTCTAGATTGTGCTACTGAAGAATAGCATGTTTCCAGAAGAAACAGGTACTGTCCCTTAGCTGGGCAGAGGTGTTCCCACTGGTGCTGGTAGTTGCAGTTGTTGACACTAAGTAAAAATCATTGTGGTTTTGGAGCAGGCAAATATTCTCCTTTACCTCGGTGGAGGAGCTACTGCTGCTGATGGCAGCCATAGCTGTTGGTTGGCATGTAGCTGATGAGCAGTCGGAGGCTGCTCTTGTAGAGAAGAAACGTGTTGTGGTGGATGGGAAGCAGTTTCACCACGTACAGATTGAATGGGTCTTTTCACAGCCCTGAAGGACTGGAGTTACTTTGAGCATGCTAATGCCAGTGGAAATGGTACAGCTCGACTTGGTAACGGAGAGCAGCAGAATGGGTGTAATCTATCCAAACCCATAGTGTTTTTCATGTTAGGCTGAGGGTGACTTTGGCTTCATGTACCCAAAGCCTTAGCCTGATATTCTGTGCAGCAGACCAGGAAATGTCGTTGTTCTGATTTGTGCCTGTTGTCCACTTTTACAGATGCCTTTGTAAATAGCCAGGAATGGACACTAAGCCGATCCGTACCAGAGCTGAAAGTGGTGAGTTTCTATTTACTTCCATCTCCAACATTACACACAAGTGAAAATCTTCTCAGCTACATTAACAATAGATAGAAAACCATTTTAAAAAGTCTTTTTCTGCACCAGAAATACCTGTATGAAGTTTGTGTCTTCTTATAATCATGCTTCAAAGATTTGTTTATCTATTTTATATCTCTATTTTATTGCTGTTTTGACTTGTTTGGCTACACCAACCAGGTGGTCTTCTCAGTAGGGAAGTCTGCTGCTGCTGTAAGAGGAGGAAGTGGAAGTTAGCAGGTGATATGTAAAGCTCCTTTTATCTCACCTTAATAATTGTTCACAGTTTTTTGAAGGATCAAATGTCTTTTTTTCCTCTCTTGAAAGAATTTAACTGAATTTGTACTGAATACTAGAAAATCCTAATATTCCAGAGGTTCATATATATCAAAGTCTACCTTTTACTGTAAGAATGAACAGTGAATTAATAGCTGCTCCCAGTAACTTTGCACTTGGCCAAGCCATTTTCCATGGAGGTTGAAGGAGAGACAATAGTAATACAGAGACAGATTGGGGGAATTTCCCAGATTTGCCCATTTTAAGTGCTGTGAACACGAAGGCTGAGAGTGAGGGCTGAAACCTCCGCAGAGTGGCTATCAAACTAGCAGCACAGGCTTGTTGAGGCCAGATCACTGTGACATTTACCATGTGGAAGTCCAGATTTCAACACGATCAGTTTCTCAGATCCTACAAAATGACTGTGGTACCCAAGATACAGAATTTGGTCATGTCTTTGGCTGGCATCTGTGCTCAGCTCCTGTTGTCCAGCTGTCACTGGAGGAGCTGCTCCAACATTTTGACAAGGGACAGGACAAGGGGAATGGCTTGAACCTGCCAGAGGGGAGATTGAGATGAGCTCTGAGGCAGAAGCTCTTCCCTGTGAGGGTGCTGAGGCGCTGGCACAGGGTGCCCAGAGAAGCTGTGGCTGCCCCATCCCTGGCAGTGTTCAAGGCCAGGTTGGACACAGGGGCTTGGAGCAACCTGCTCTAGTGGAAGGTGTCCCTGCCCGGGGCAGGGGTTGGAGCTGGAAGAGTTTAAGAAGGGACATCTGGGTCTGTGCTTTACCAGCCCGTTTCTCATGTGGTAAATGTCTTTTTCACAATCTGAGTTGATAGTAGTGGTTATGGAGGTGAAATTTATATTAACATGATAAATGCTCTTACACAGAACGGTGTATTAATTGAAGCAGCTTCCTCACCACTACAGTTATGTTTCAGTATTGATTTCAGCAGTGCACATGCTAAGTAGAAGAAAAATATGGTAGTCAATGGATGTAACTGTGTAAGACAGGAAAGGCCTACAGAGGGTCAGCAGGTTCAGTTTAACTGATGGGGTAATTTGGAAAACAACTATCTCCCCAAATACCTTGCACAATAAAAATAAGACTTTAGGCCTGGAAGATGTTCTTGGATATGTGTCCAGTCCACTGTGGTATTAGTGAGCTTATGCTGGGAGGATCTACAGAGGGATTCTTTGTCCATCTCTTCCCCTTCTCTCACCTCTAATAATTCACAGCATCCACCAGTAGACTTGGTTCTTGCAGGTGAGACCAAAGCTGTGATTAGTATGTGTTGTAGTACAGAACACAAACAATTGCTGAGCATTTTGAGCTGGTCCTGGGTACAGTTGTTTCTTGGGCCACCATGGCTGCACTGTGTGAATACCTGTCTTGGGTATCTTGCTCCTATGTTTGAACCAGTGGCAGGAAAATCAACTTTGGCTGTGTGGCTACTGCTGTAGAGAATTGATTTTAAGTGGTCAGTTGTAAGATTACCATCCAAGGCTTGAGTTTGTGAAATCCTGGATAAAAACAGGGCTCCTACCGTGACAAAAATGATAATTGAATTTTCCCACTGCAAATGATTGAGGCTGGCAGCACCAGCTGAGGCTGAGAGCTTGTGCTGCAGCAGGAAGGGCAAATGAGGGGCTCCATCCACAATCCGCTCTGCCTTTCCCACACCACTGCCCTTGGGAAGGGGTTGGTGCAGTGAGTCAACCCTGTGTCACTCCCCTGCTTCCAGGCTCTCCATCCGTGCCCACAGGGTTGCAGTAAAGAAAAGGCAATGCCTGTGTTTCTCAAACAAGGCCAGTCTCTTCCTCTGCCTCCCTTTTTACCAGTACCTATTGGGCTTGATGTCTTGTGTTTCTGCTGATCAGATGATACCACTGAGTTATGGATGATGAGGCTTCTGTTATGGTCAAGAGCATGCTAGGCCAGCTGGGTAAGAGCAGGACCTTTCCTGAGTGGTGGCGATGGTATTCCTGGATCCCATTTATCCAGATGTACAATAAGGATGTGTTAGGCTGAATAAATACGAGAGCATTTTGGACAAAATCGTTCCATTTGTTACCAAGGAGTATGCCAAGCACAGCCAGGCTTCTGTGCTGGATAGCTTCCACATGCCAAGTTCCAGAGATGCATTCCTG